AGCAGCTCTTTTTGTGGTAGCCCAAAATTAGGGGTCCTCCTAGTGGAGAATGGCTAAACAAATTGTTATAATATGAATGTAATGGAATATTATCATACTATAAGAAATGATGAAAAGGACAGTTTCAGAGGAAATTGGAAAGACCTCTCTGAACTAATAGAATGAAATGAGCAAAACTAGGAGAATAATTTATATAGTAATAACATTATAGAGAAAAACAACTTTGAAAGACTTTAGAACTCTTTAGAAATAAATCACTGCTCCAAAAGATGAAATGTACCCATCACCTGCTACCAGAGAGATGATGAACTTAAAATAAAGGTTCATGTTTTTGAAATGGCCAATATGAGAATTTGTTCAAGGTTAGACTTTATAGCTATGTATTGAAGGCTTTATTGTTTCATTTAAAAATTGCTTGGGAGTAGTAAACAGATTAATAAAAAAGAGAGAAAGAAAAACATTATTTTAATGAATTAGGTGTGAACAAGGCCTAGGCATTTCTTTTTTTTTTTTTGGCTAGGCAATGGGGTTAAGTGACTTGCCCAGGGTCACACAGCTAATAAGTGTTATGTGTCTGAGGCCAAATTTGAACTCAGGTCCTCCTGAATCCAGGGCCTGTGCTCTATCCACTGCAGGCCACCTACCTGCCCCAAGGCCTAGACATTTCCATTGAATCAGTCAATTAAAGCCTTTGAATTGGGTTCAAAAAGTACTTGAACAGTTCAGAAGTCTTTGAGAGCCACTGGATAAAATGGAATGATGTTGCTCAGGAAGTGTGTTTCAATTAGTTTTTATTATTATTATTATTTTTAGGCAATTGGGGTGAAGTGACTTGCCTAGGGTCACACAGCTAGTAAGTGTCAAGTGTTTGGTCTGAGGTCGCATTTGAACTCAGGTCCTAAATCCACTGAACCACCTAGCTGCCCCACGTATTTCAATTAGTTGAGGAGACTTGGGTCATACTCTGTGGGACATGTATAAAATCAGCAAGCTAGTTTGGAATCCAGCATTCAAGCGTCTAGAAACTTAGTGCTGGAACCCATTTCAACCAAACTCTCCCTCCCTTTACTTGTGAGCTTTGGAGGACCAGATGATTTGAACTTTTTCATCATGTTCTAGCAGTGTCCCCAGAACAGTTATGACTTGCAGCACTGTCTGCCTTAGGAGACAAGGGCAATTCAGACACATAAGAAAGATTATTTTCAATATCCTACAAGGATTGAAGATACAGCATCCCTAAGGAGAACTTCATGAGTACCCCATGAAGGGTAGAAAAGGATTTTGGCAACCAGGGCCCCTGGGTGTCTATTCTGGTTTTTGTTTCTTCCAATGTATTCCTTTTAATGTCCTCACCAGTAATCATCTTCCAAATAACAATCAATAGTATCTCCCCAAATCAATTCACTGAGGATAGATGATCAAACAACTATCCTGAGATGGTATACCTATCCTTGGTGGCAACCATGTGAGTTTGAGAAATTGAGAATTCCTGATTCCTCATCCTCAGTTGATGCAGGTTTTACCCACTCCAGTTCTTGGAAAAGGTAACCATCATTCAGAAGGATGAATCCAATTTGTGGCTTGGGTTGACAGAAGATATGGATGGGATTTGTTCAGCATATACAGAGCTGAGGTAAAATGCCAATTCAGCAGTCCCACAAAATATTTCATATTTTAATATTTCAAATATCAGTTTCTTGGGAGAGTATAAATAGTTAGAAGTGATTTCGGTTGCTTATTTAAACCTTTGCTAATATATTTCTTGAGCGTTTTTTTTGTGTTAAGTATTTCTTTTCTGTAGAGGAAACAAATAGCTACCCTTATACCTGATTTACATTGTACATTGAGCACCTTGACACTTTTTGAGGAGACCACAGACTTGAGCCAAACCTAACTTTTAAGTAATTTTCCACAGAGCTCTAAGTTGAGGCACGTAAAGAGCCAGAGACTTTGAGAATGTGCCTACTCCTTCCTTTTAGAGGCCAGGTTCTCCCAGACCTGAACCTGGTCCACATATGTATGAGTCCAGAGCTGAAAGAGGCTTTTTAGTGGAGAGAAAGAGGGTAAGTGCTGGGCTCCCTTGGGCTCAGTAGCAGATACTTTTGTTATAGCACTTTGGGAGCTAAGGAGCCTCCAAAAATTACCAAAGGGAGAAATGAAATTGTGAGATGCTGAGCAGTGGCAAGATTTGTGCATGGACACACAAGGATTGAGGTTATGAATTTTCTTTTTCTTTGCTCTTAAGAGAGACGTCTAGTGGCCATTTAGGTGCAAGGAACAGAGCTTTTCTGCACTTGCACTGAAGCTCCCTGGGCTCATGCTATCATGTGTGTTGGTGGGAGAGACTTTGGGAATCAGACTTTCTAGGCTGCTAAAATCTGAGCCTTTTTCTGTGGACAGAAGACCACTGTTGTAGAAGTGATTAGTCAGGGAGCAAAAGTGGAAGTCAAAATCCGAAGAGCTCCTTAGTGTTAGAAATTGTCAGCTATTGTGAAGCCAAATTGATTGGTCAGCCAGGGATGAGAAGACCATCTTTCTTCATATTTCCCCTGTTTATAATCTGAGTCTTCCCTATTTATAATCTGAGATATGCACAATTCCCACTAATTTTGTCTCCATGAATTGTATGTACAGTTCAGAAAGCCCCTTTGCCATTTTTAAAAACAGAGAGGTTAGTCTGGAAGAATTTTGGGAAATGGATGGGGCAAAGGGGTCCATATGGGAGTGCTTTGCTTTAATTTTTGCTCTAACAATGTGCCTATAGTATATTGATTGCTTGTGTCCCGTGAATAAAGAGGGTCATTTGGCAGACTGGGGAAATTCTAGATGCAAGGTGGGGTTGGTACTATAGACTTCCTATTTTAAAAAATAATTCTGAATGGAGAAGTCCTGGATTTTGAGGGAGTTGTTTGGACATTGTAAAGCCAAAGTGGTAGTGAAATGCCTATTTAATTTTCTACCAAGCGCTTTATATATAATGGCCAATGAGGGCCCATTCCTTAGAGCATATTCAGATTTGCCCTTCCTGTTGGGATATAGACTGCCTGTCCTATAGTCCCCACCTGGTTTAATTTTTCTTTAAATTGTTAATTAATTTTTTTTTCAATTGTGCAGCATTTATTTATTTTTCCTTCCACGGGGGGGGGGGGGAAGCAAAAGCAAAACCCTTCTAACAAATAAGCATAATTGAACAAAACTAATTCCTATATTGGCCATGACCAAAAATGTGTTTCATTCAGCATATTAATCCATTACCTCTCTATCAGGAGGCGAGTAGTATTCTTTTATCGGTGGTCCTCTATAATCATTATTGTTCATTTCATTGGTCATAGTTCTTAAGTCTTTCAAAATTGTTCAGTTTTACAATGTTGATGTTATGGTATAAATTATCCCCACCTAATTTCAATCTAATACATGTAGGTTTGGCAAGCAAATGAAGGAATAATAAACAAGTAAAAATTCACACATTACCTTATACACATTCTCCCTCTCACCAATACATTCAGTACCTTCCAAGGAGGGTACGTGAGTACGGAAAAGTTATGTGCTTGGGGTAACACAACTCTGGAACTGGAACTGTCTTTGTCCTGGTTCTGTCTTGGGAATTGTCCATTAACATTCCTTGAGCAACTTAGCTTTTTTGTTGAGCTTATGCTTCTGTGGCTAGGCTGAAGCTATGGCTGAAGCAATCCACACCCGACTAAACTCTCACTGCGCAAGACTCAGGCAAACTAGCAGATAACCTAGTTGTCTTCTTGGATTCTCTGTTTTCAAGCTATTCCTCTGCTCAAGTGGATCTGCTATATAACATCAACTGTTGTATCCATCATTTCCAGCTTCAAGCTTAGCTAATACAGTTCTGAAATCCATCAATCCATCCGTTCACCTACCTCTCATCTTTCTGGGTTTAGATACTGAACCCTTCCCACCTTAGCATATAGTTCTGGTATCCGTGTTGTTGTTATTCAGTAGTGTCCAATTCTTCATGACCCTGTTTGGGGTTTTCTTTTTTTGTTTGCTTTTTTCTTTCTGGGCCATGGGATTAAGTGACTTGCCCGGGGTCACACAGCTAATAAGTATTAAGAATCTGAGGCCGCGTTTGAACTCGGGTCCTCCCGACTCCAGGCCCGGTTCTCCATTCACTGTGCCACCTCGCTGGCCTCTCATCCTTTATATCCACTGTGTACTTTCCTCCTCTAAAATTCACTTCTAAGTCAGAGTTCAGGTGCCGCCTGTGAAGACCTCCTTTATGCCCCTATTTGTTTGTGTTCCCTTCTTGCTCGGATTATCTCAATACAGGAAAAATTAAGTAGAAAACTAGCAGTTTAGCAAATGCACTAACATATCAAGTGAACGAGAGTGGGTGCAATCTTCCACGCCCCAGGCCCCACCTTTGTCATTGTTAATGTATCAGATTAAAATTAGAGTTTGGGTTATGTATGTACGGGGCTCACCCCCGCCCCCTTACTGAATTGTAAACTCATTAATCATATGAATAATGATTACACGTACAACATTTCCGTAGCGCTTTCTTCGCGCCAACCCTAAAGAACGTAATGTGCCATTTGACACAGAAGCGGTGTAGTAAAGCAAATTACCTGTGGTCACAGAGCTATTAAGTGTAGTTAACGTCATTTTATCCCCTCCCATTTCTGCGCCCCACCCCCACCCCAAGGGAGCCGGCGGGCTGAGCCAAGTCCTGGCAGGGGTGTAGAAGACGTAGCTGACTCTTGGGGCTCGCCGGCGCCCCTGACTCCCGAGACCCCCGCCCTCTCACTGCCTCTGGGCTCTGATCCCCAGCCCGCTAGCCTGCACCATTTTCCTCCCCGCCTCCCCAGCCGGGTCGGGAGACGCCAGCGAGCCTCATCTAAGCCGCAGGATCTGGAAGGGGCGGGGCCAGGAGTGGGGGCGGGGCTCCGGCCTGGCCGCGGCAGTTTTCCCGCCGAGTTAGGGCTGCAGGTGTGCTGTTAGTGTGTCAGTTGCAGCGGTCCCGGGCTTACCCCCCCTTCCCCCCCCCCCCCCCCCCCTCCCCCTGTGGCCGCCATGCTGCCTGCCTCCTGCTCCCACAGGTAAGGGTCCCCGCGTTGGACACACACAGCCATGCACGCGTTCGTCGGGGTTCTGGGACCTAGGCCGGCCGCAGCCCCTGGTGCCGGTGTCATTCTGACTGCGTTCTGGGAAGCCCGGAGCCTTCCTGGGCGCAGTCTGCGCGCGCAGGCGGGGGAAGGGGATGGGGAAGAGGGGACTCGTGGGAGGAAGGAGGGGCATGTGTGAGAGAAAGGGGGAGGGGAAGGGGAAAGAGGGGCGTGGGATAACTAGGGAGGGGACCTGGGAAAGGAAAAGGGGGATGGGGAGAGGAAAGTGGGAGATTGGGGGAAAGAGGGGGAGGGAGAGAGGAAGAGGAGGAGGGCGAAACAGGGAAAGGGGGAAAGAAAGAGGTAGGGGAAGGAGGGTACAGAGAAAAGAGGGACAAGAGGGGGGGGACAGAAAAGGGGCAGGGAACTTGCAGGAAGGAAAGGGAGGGTCGGGGGGGAGAGAACGGACAGCTGAACTTCTGCTGGGGTTGGGGGGCTTGGGGGTGTGTTTCCAGGCTGGTCACTGAGCTCCAAGGAGCCCTGGCAGCCTGTCAGAAGAAGGAGGAGGAGTTGCAACAGTCCATTGCCCGCTGCCGAGTGTTGCTTCAACCCTGGTATCCCTGGGGAAGGGGATAGTTGGCCTGGTTCTGATTCTCCAGAAAGTCTCCACCTGTGCCCAGACCCGGGCTGAGCTGGGGTCCTTTCAGGACTACCTCCCTTGCTCTGCCTTTTGGGGTCAAGCATTCGAGCATCTGCAGAGGGTTGAGTCTTTAATTTGTCCAAAGACACACCCAGATCAAGGGTATCTCACCAAGAAGGGCCCCCAGAGGAAGAAGCCTCCACAGTTTTGCCCTCCTGAGTAAGGGGAGAGAGTTAACAAAATCATAGAGTTCTCGAGTCATGAGGGACCTCGGAGACCATCCAGTCTGACCCCCTTCATTTGACAGATGAGGCACTGAAGCCAGAAAAGTTACTTGCCTAAAAGTCTCATGGGATAGTAAATAGAGGCAGTATTTAAACCCAAACCTGATTCCAAATCCGATGCTATTTTATCATTACCATGCTGAGCCTTCTCTCGTGATCAAGACTAGTTTATAGGGAGGTAAGGGGACAAAAATTGTTTGTATATGTGTGCGAGTTGTCTCCTAGGAATCTGGTGGGAAGGTCTCTAATCTTATGGTAACAAGACCTGGATTCAGATTCCAACTCTGATACCAAGCAAATTATATACTCTTAAAGTTTTGGTTTCCTTGTTTGTCAAAAATGTTAAGAATATGTCTTATAGCAGCCTACACTTGCCTCACCAGGGTGGTTGGGAAGAAAGCTCTTTATAAACTGTAAATGGTGAGGTATTATGGATTCTGTCTCCTTCCAGGGAAGTGCCTTCTCCCCCAAGCCCTGAACCAGCCAGGAGCACCGAGACTAAACCTGGTGAGCCTTGGTCTGGGCCTCTCTCCTCCGGGCTCTGAGCAGAGGTAGCGGGGCCACTATGCTCCCTAGTGTGTGCACTAGTCTGGGTAGGGGAGAGCCTCAGTTGGCCTAACTAGTAGTGAACTGGGGCCTTCCTGGAAAGCAACAGATTGGATGGGAAAGGTAGATTGCTTCTTTCTAACAGTCTAAGTCTGCAGGTATTAGAAGGGGGGAGCAGGTCAGATTGAGGGGAGGGGTTGAGTGGGGTGAGTAGTCTTAGGGAGAACTCTTCCCTGACTTGTAGCTTTCACAGCACATGAACCAACTCCCAAAGAACTCAAGGAATTGGAACTGCTGAACCAGGCCCTGGAGAAAGCCCTTCGGGTCCGGAAAGGCATCTCCCAGGTCCAGTCATCGAAGAGTGCCTCCAGTGGGAAAGTTGCCCCATCTCTGGTCACTGCCCAAGCAGGCCCTGGGGCCAGGCCCAGAACCTCAAATCCAAAAGCCTGTGTTCCAGCCAAGCCTCCAACTACCTCTCAAAGGGCTAGTGGCAGGCTGAAAAAACCTGCCAGAGTCTCCTCCCATAGGGGCAAGGCCCCTGGAAATGCTCTCACACATGCCGGGCAGCCAGACAACTCAATGCCCATCAAGGGGCCAGCTCAGCTCTGCCCTCTGCCTTCCCAAGGCCAGGTCCTGGGGCTCCCAACTTCCACCCCAGTTTCAGTCTTAAGAGAAGCAGGTACTACTGGGCCCAGCCCTGGACCAGAAGAAGGAAAGATCCAACCAGGCCTTAGGTCTGAGGCCTTCACACTAGAGGAGAAGGGGTAGGTTTCCTAAACCATGCAATGAATGATTGGGGTTTTGGCAAAGGTGGCTAAGCTTTTATAGGCTTTTGCCCACTCGACTTAGACCTTCTGTGGGGTCCACAGAAGGAAGGGGGAGCAGAGCTTTTGAAGAAAACTTGAAACATACCTTTGTACAACATGTGAAGGTTAACAAGGACTTTGGAGGACCACACTTCCCAGGCCTACTCCTGTACTCTCAGAATACCTTCCGAGTGCCCTAGACTGACTGCCTGACAATCCAAGAGAATCCTTTTGGGGTATCTCCCCTTTTCCCCCATATGCTAGAGCAGAGATTTAGCTAGATCCAGAGGTGCCAGGCTCTGAGCCGTTGTTATCTTCAGGCCACTCAGATTAAGCCATGAGATCCAGAGGCTCCTTGTTTATTATGAAGCTTGATACGTTGGCTACAATGAGATTGAACCCTTTCTACCCTTAGGGCCAGGTCCACACTGAGTTTTGTCTTGCCTCAATGGCTGTAGCTACAGTCCTATGAAGTTGCCAGGTATTATAGGCACTGACTTCCTGCCACTGAGACACCTCTTCTCCCCAACTAGGCCAGTCTTGGCCCTTTGTTTGTTTCTTCAGTCTTGCTATTGGGAGCCACTAGCCTGATAGCCCAGGGTGGCCTGGTCACTGGGCTCCTACCTTCTCAGGGCTCTGTAGAGCTACACTGATGACAGGAGTTTAGGGGGTGGAGATGGGGCTGCTCTCCCTAGACTCTTGGCTAGAGGAGAACTCGGGTCCTGAGCATGGCAGGGAGCACTGACTGGTGATTGCTTTTTTCAGGATACAGCTGCAGCTGCCTCTGTTTTATAAGAAAATTGTTTCCAGGAATTCCAGGTGAGGTTGCTCATTAGGCAGAAAGATTTGAGGCCCCTTAAGGATATCCACTACCAGGTGGGGTAGCAGTGAGACTCTCAGAAGCCTCAGGCCAACTTCCAGCACTTTGGCTTCAGAAGATCTGAACCAGGCACACCTGTTCCCATACCTTCTTAATATTTCCATTAAGTGGCCTTTTCAGTTACCTTGTCCTTTAAAGAGGAAGCAGGCTCTGAGAAGGGGAATGACTGAGGTCACACAATGAATTGTTGGCAGACTTGGCACTTCAGACCCAGGACTCCAATTTCCCAGACCACAGCCTTTACCAGTATGATACCTCAATTAAGAAGGGGAGGCAGGGGTTACACCTTTTGTTCTTCTCTTGGGTCACAGGTGTCAAACTCTCCTCCAAACTTCCTAATGCTAGATTAAAATCTAATTGGGAAATATTTAACAAAATAAATACAGTATAACATAGATAATGTTGATTTTCACGATTTTTGGAGTCAATAGTAGCCAGCAGTGACCCAGTTTTTTAATGAGAGATTTAAAATTTGATTTCTACTTTCATGTGAAGAATTTGCTTGCAATTTAAATTTTCACTTGACTTCAGGATAGTTTTTTCCCCACTTAATAGTATTTTATTTTTTCCAATTACATATAAATATAGTCTTCAACATTCACTTTTATGAGATTTTGAGTTCCAAATTTTTTTTCTCCCTCCCTCTTTCCCATCCGCCCTCCCCAAGACAGCAAGCAATCTGATATAGGCTATATGTGTACAATCATATTAAACATATTTCCACATTAGTCATGTTGTGAAAGAAGAATGAGAACAAAAGGGAAAAACCATGAGGAAGGGAGGAAAAAAAAAGGAGAAAATAGTATGCTTTGATCTGCATTCAGATTCCATAGTTCTTTCTCTGAATGTGGATAGCATTTTCCATCATGAGACTTTTGGAGTTGTCCTAGATCATTGTTGAATTGCTGAGAAGAGCTAAATCTATCAAACTTGGTCTCATAGCGCCATGTTGTTACTGTGTATGATGTTCTCCTGGTTCTGCTCACTTCACTTGGTATCAATTCAAACAGCGACCCATTTCTATTTTTTTAAAATTTTTCAACATATGTTTTTAAAACTTTTGGGTTACACATTTTCTCCCTTCCTCCCTCCCCACCCACCCCCCTTGAAAAGGCGAGCATCTCGATACAGGTTATAGATGTGTAGTTATGCAAGATACTTCCATAGTAGTCCTGTTGTGAAAAACTAAGTATATTTCCCTTCGTCCTATCCTACCCCCCATTTATTCTATTCTCTCTTTTGACCCTGTCCCTCCTCAGAAGTGTTTGCTTTTGATTGTCCCCTCCCCTAATCTTCCCTCCCCTCTATCAACCCCCTGCTCTCATCCCCTTCCCCCCTTATTTTCCTGTAGGGTAAGATAGCATACCCCATTGTGTATATTATTCCCGCCTTAATCCAAATCCTATGAGAATAAGATTCACTCATTACCTCTCACCTTCCCCCATTCCCCTCCACTGTAAAAGCCTTTTTTTGTGTTTCATGTGAGTTAATTTACCCCATTGTCCTTCTCCCTTTCTCCTTCTCCCAGTATAATCCTCTTTCAACTCCTTAATTTTATTTTCCAGATATCACCCCTTCATCTTCAACTCACCCTGTGCCCTCTATCTATGTCTCGGGTAGTCCCCTGAGCTGCTGAGACCTGACTTCATTTTTTACTGAAAATTTCCAGAATAGATTGTTTTGAGAGCCACTTGTTAAATATTTGCCTGTGCACTTCTATGCACCTATCATATACAACAGAAACAGGAAAGGCTGATTGAAATGATCTGAGTTTCAGCAATATCTGTGCCTGTGTTGTTCAGTCATTTCAGTTGTGTCTGGCACTTTGTGACTCCATTTTTGGGGTTTTCTTGGCAAAGATACTGAAATAGCTTGCCATTTCTTTTTCCAGTTCATCTTACAGATGAGGAAAGTGAGGCAAACAGGGTTAAGTGATTTGCCCAGGGTCACATAGCTAGTCTGAGACTGGATTTTAACTTGATTCCAGGCCTGGCACTCTGTGCACTATGGCGCCACCTAATGGCCATGCCTTTTATCTGCACCTGTATCTGTGTGCATTCTGTTGTGTATTTATGTGTATCCTAGCCTGTGGGCCCAGGTCCAGCACTACCACTCCAGTGCTGATACTGCTGTGGCTGCTGCCAAAGCCCGTTTCCTGAAGAGAACGAAGGCAACTGTATCCTTGCCAGGTGCATGGTGTCTGGGCTGTGGGGCATGTGCTGGGGGAGTGGGAAGGGAATGCCACTGGCTCCCAGGCTCTTCACCTTGGGGCAGGGAGAGTAGGAGCCAGGTGGAAGAGCTCTTTGGCTAATGAGAGATTTGGCTAAAAGCCGTAGCTACTGATATCACTCTCCCTTGGGATGATTGTGAGACCCCAGCTGGCTCTTAATGGAGCCAGAGGAGCTCCATCCCTCATACAATAGTACTCACAGAAGTCGTTTGCCAGTGGATTGCTCACTGCTACTTTGGGGAGTGTGGGGGGAAGGGGGAAAATTAGCCATCTGCCAAAGATTGCCTCTCCCTGGAGTACTTCCTGCTGGGGTCTGTAAGGGATAGGGGGAGATGCCTGGGAGTGAGATGAAAGGGAAGAAGAAGCCCCAAGAAAACTTTCCCTGACTTGCTCCGAGTTTGATTTGCCTGGCCCAGCAATCAGTCTTTCTGAGATCCAGGAGGAGGTGACTCGCCTGGACCAGGCCTGCCACCTACTGACCCAGCATCTGGAAGAGACACTGGATGTGAATGGGGAGGCAGCTACAGGTGAGAAAGGAGGCACACAGAACTGCATGGACCTTACTTGGCTGAAGGGAGAAGGGGAAGCCTGAGAAGGTGTTGGGAGGGTCCTAGGGGAATGGGTGGAGTTAATGTCTTCTGAAGCCATGTCCTTTCCTCCTCCTGCAGCCTCGCTGAGCTGGGAGCAGGAATACCACCGTCTGGTCACTTTGGAAGGACTGCAAGCTGCTGTAGAACGGCATTTGCTTAGATTACAAGAGCTTCGAGACGGTGAGGCTCCCCAGCAGGCCACCAGAGACAGGCTACACTGAGGTCTGCATTAGGTTGACTTTGCCTTGTCTCCCACGCCTTGGTCTTCGGTCCAAGGCCAGTGGCGGAGGCAGGAGGTGGGGAAGGAGTGGATACCACTACTAGTTCTCTTGGCCTTGATCTGCTGCCCTGGGTAGGTGGGGGAAGCAGTAGGAGTGGGGAGCACTAATCGTCCCACCAGCACTTCTGAGAGCAAGGCTAGGTTCTGTAATCCCAGGAAGGAGGGGCAAATTCACCTTGAGATTCTCATTCCCTTAGAGGCTGGTTTCTGATAATTTTATGCCTTTTGCCTCCTAGAGAGTCATTCTTAAAGCAAAGAACGAAAAACAGGGCAAAAAAGTTTGGCATAGCCAACTAATAGATCAGTTAGGTCTGACATTATATCCAGGGTTCCACACTCGTAGTCTCCCACATTTACAGAGAAGGAAGGGATATATACTGTCATATTTCTTTGAGGCCAAGCCTAGTGCCCTTGTGCTTCTTAACAATTGTTCAAGGACTGCTGGGTGCGGGCTTCTCAGCTCCAGCTGGGGGCCAAGGTCCTCCTCCATCCTGCTGTTGGCTCCTTGGCTCCTTCCAGGTCTATTAGTGCAAAGTTAACTAGATACTCTTCACTGCTGTTGTCTGAAGAACTAGCCCTTTGTCTTCTTCGTTAACTTGGCTGTTCTGCTGAAGGCATTCTTAACCCTGAAATTGGTATGTGGCAGCTGACCAGACAGCAGGAAATCCTTGCAGTGGAGGATGCTACTAAGGGGGAAGGGAAAAAGCATTTATTTAGTGCCTACAATGTGTACTTTACACATGTTATCTCATTTGATCCTAAAAAACAACCCTGTTAGGTTTGCTGTGATTCCTGTTTTACAGTTGAAGAAAGTGAGACAGAAGGAAGACAGAGGTTAAGTGACTTGCCCAAGGTCACACAGCTAGTAAATGTCTGAGGCTGGATTTGAACTTGAATTTTCCTGATTCCAGGTCCAGCACTCTACGCATTGTGCCATCTAGCTGCCTAGGTGGTTCAGTAAGTAGACCTATCAAGGTTGCAGGGCTTCTGCCTTCACTATGGGTTGCTCCACCTGGCTGCAGAGACACCCCACAATCAGTTAAGGTCAATCATGGCCACTTTGGTGTCATCAAAAAATCATTAGTCATACAGCCTCTCTTAAAGCTATACCTTAGAGCACCATCTTGTAGAAGTGTGAGCAGTAGCTATTATCCTGTTCTGGTGCTTTGGAAGGGAAGATTAACTAGTGGCTCATTTGCTATAATAGTGGGGTAAGCTAACTGTCCCAACCATTACTGCTGGTAGTAAGAGGCTCTGAGTCCCTCTTTTCTCTCTCCCATTCCTCTTCCTTCCCCCCACGAATACAGCAGAGGAACAGTGGTTGGGCCCCAGGCCTGTAGAGAGCTCTCCTTGGGGCTCAGCCCTAGGCTTAGGAGGAAAAGGATCGCATGGGTCCACCAATTGTCTCGTCTACACCAGTGTGGAAGAGCTGCAGACCATGACAGCTCTCAAGCTTCGAGTGGCAATGTTGAAGCAGCAGATCCACCTTGAAAAGGTACACACCTGTCCTTTCTTGATACAGTGGCAAGAATTCCCACTGAGCCAGCCATCTGCTTCTTGATCTCCTTTTTCACGAACTCTTATCTCTGTAGGTTTAATAATTCTGTGTTTGGGAGGTCAGACAAAGGGAATATGTGTCCAGGGGGGAAATTATTTCCTCTGGAGGAAAAAATAGTTGAGAGATGTGAGACCAGATCCTTTGCATGCGACTTACTTTGTTCTGGCAGCACCTGCCCTCGCCAAGATTCTCAGAAGGGCTTGTTATCAGAATCTGGTGCAGTCTTATGGGTTCTCTGAACCAGTGTACATTGAGTCTTGTATGTGATAGAAACATGTTCACATCTGATGTCTCTGCGTTTTTGTGGTGCTGTCACTGGATTTTGGTGTTTTTTTGTTTTTGTTTTTATTTTTTTATCTGGGTCAGGGGTGGGGAGGAGGCGTTTTTCTGGTATAGACACTCAGGGTGTAAGGAGTTGGTGTATGTATACATGTGAGTAAGGTCCTCATGATGGGAGGCTGGAGTATTTAGAACCCTTGTTGTCTCTGTGACACCCCCAGGTTCTGATGGAAGAACTTCTCCCCCTGGTGAAATCTGAGAGCCCTGCTGGCCCAGCTCAGTTGGCACTGTACCGTGCTATCCATAGCCAACTTTGTGAAGCTGGGGAGCGCTTCTCCATACTGGTGAGAGATGAGCCATCTGTCTGAGCCTGGCATGGGCCCTATCAGCCATCATTCCAAGCTGGGCCCTCCCTCCCTCCACTGAACTTGCCCCTGGTCATTTATTAGCCAGCAACCTTTGCTTTCTGTCCCCTAGGAAGTCTTGAAAGCAGTATGGAAACATTAAACATCAGAGCTGATCTCTGTACTCCTCCACCACCATTTCCTTGCCCATCTGTCTTTCTGCCTAGTCCAGGATGGTAGGACCCAGTAGCCTAGGCCAAGGACAGAGAGGGGCTTATTGTTTGTACAACGCTGTGGCTCCTTGGGGAGAGGAGAGGATGTGGAGGGACTAATGGCTGTAAGGGCACCGTATTGACTAATAGTACTGATAATCTAAGCTGGAAGAGTGAGGGAGGTAGTAGCCTAGAAATGGACATGAGCTCTTATAGTACTACTGAGGGCCTTAGCAGTAGAAAAGATTGAAATTGCCCTAAGACCAGAGCCTCCTTCAGGAATGTTCCACTTCACATGTAGCTAGCACCGCACAAGACATTTGTTCAGTGGTAAGAGGGTGATTATGAAATTTACTGAAAGGCACAGTCATCCTTCTTCAGGCTAGGACAGTTGAGAGAGCCTTCTAGGAGGAGGTAGACTTAAGTTAGAATAGATGGGAGTTGGTCAGGGTGAGGGAGTATTCTAGATAGGGGACAGAGTTAGCAAAGGAGAAGAGATGGGAGGGCCTGGTAATTTGGAGAGAGGCCAACAAGGATGGAAAAGTAGGTGGTGGGGCAGAGTAAAGGGCTTCAAAGGCCAGGCTAAGAAGTATGGACTTGATTCTGTAAGCAGTGAGGAAGCTATGGAAGGGTATATCAAGAGGTCATAAATTGGGCTTTAGTCCCAGCTCTGTGCCTTACTTTCTGGGTGACAAGTGTCTTCATCTGTACAACGGGGAGAATAACACTTGTATAACTTACATAAAATACTTTGGAAATGTGAGTTTTGTCAACATTTAATAAAGGTGTATGAGATTCAAACTTGGGACTAATAACTTCCTGAAACATGCAGTGATTTCAGTTCAGATTGGCACAACTACACTTACTTCTTACATAGAGACAGTTGTCTAGGATTTACTTTTATTTATTCTTAAATATATTTTTATTCCAAACTTAAAACACCAAATATTGAACATTTACATATATAGGAGAACTCCAAAAGAGGATTGTTTATAACGCGCCCCCCCTCACTTTTTTTAAAGTATATGATTCAACTCATTAATTTCAAAACCATCCTGCTTGTCTATGCTTCCTTCTGAACTTCTGGAGTCTTCTGCACATTAAAAATGTTTCATCGGCCCTTTTTTTTTTTTTGGCATCATCATTATTCCTCCCCTGTTTTCCTGCTCCACACACATACCCCTCCCAAGTTAAAAACAGAAAGAAGAAAATTAGAACAGATGAGCATCATCGAGCCAAACAGATCTACCCAGTGGCCATATCCACACCTTGAGGCTGTTACCTCTGTCAGGAGCTGGTGACATGCTTGTTTGGAAGTCCTCTGAAAACATGGTTGTGGCTTTGGTTAGAGTGCTTAAGTGTTTTTAAGGTGTTTTTCTTAACAATGTTTTGTCATTGTACAAATTGTTCTTCAGGTTTCTCTCCATCCATTTCAACATTTCTTATGGAAGGATCATATTCCATTATATTCATATGCCATAATTTGTTCAGCCATTCTCCAATTTATTGTCACTATCTTTGTTTGCCATTCTTTGATACAACAAAGTTTTATCATAAATATTTTTGTGTGTATCTGCCCATTCCCTCTTTCTTTTTTTTTTTAATCTATGGTGACTTTTTGTTTATAGTTCCAAATTGCTTTTCATAACGGTGGGATCAGATCAAAATTTCATCAATAGTACATTAGTGTGCCTGTCTTCTCACTCCTCTCCAATTGTCATTTTCCATTTTTGTCATTTATTCTAATTTTAATTTCTATTACTGTTGGTCATTTGGAACTTTTTTTTCATATGGTTGTTGTCAGTTTGCCTTTTTTCTCTTGAATACTCTGTTCATATCCTCTGGCCACTTACCTGTTAGGGAATGGTTCTTGTTTTTATACATTTGCATCAATTACTTATGTCTCTGAGCTTTATGCCTGTAGCATTAGTAACCTATTTGCTTTTTCTGTGGAAATCTTTCAAGTCCCCCAAAAGTAACCACAATAGACCAGAGTAGTTTCATTTTATTAGATGGGGAAACTAGAGCCCATGGAGAGGAAATGATGGGCTCAGAGTCATTCAGGTAATAATCTTAGCTAGGATTTGAGTCTCAGGCTGCATTCACCACTGCTCTTTCCATCATACCCTCTGTTCCTGCCCTTGAGAACATTTGTTTCCCTCTTGCCCATCTGCTTGGATTTGCAGAACATCCCCCACGTCTGCCAGTCACAAAGCCCTTTAGTCACAGCTGTCTGGGAACTCATTTGGCAGACTACAGGCTCTCCACTTGGTTTTCTTTCTACATGAGAAGGGAGCTGGGTCCACAAAGGATCATTATAGATCATTATGTTCAAGGAACGAGAGTCACACTGAAGGGAGAGAGAAAACTGGAGAAATGGATCCACCCTTACTGTTGGAAAGGATTGTATGTTGGTATACTATAACAGTATGTCATGCACTGTTGGGAGTTGTATGTCAGTATAACTGAATATGTCATGTACTGATGGAAGGGATTGTGCCATGTACTGTCAGAGGGGGTTGTATGTTGCCAGTATAATTGTGTAATATATTGTTGGAGAGATCTGTATAGGTATAATTGTATATGTAATATACTCTTGGAAGGAATTGTATGTCAGTATAACTGTTTGTAATATGCTATTGGAGGAATTTGTTGGTATAATTATATGTAATGTACTGTTGGAAGAAATTGTATGTTGATATAACTGCATATGTAATGTACTTATATTTTAATCGAATGGATGGAATGTATTTTCACCTTGTGAGGGGCTCCAGTGAATAGTAGCCTTATTGGGGAGTGTGTGAACCGTAAAGCATCTTAGTAGGTGGAACCCCAAAATTGGGGATGGATGGCGAGGTGGACCCTGGAAATTCATGGGAGAGGCCTGAAGGGAGACCTTCTTTGAAGCAGAAAGAAAGCTAAATTTATCTTGGAGACCTTCCCAGAAGAGGATGGGGGAAAGTTCTCTCCTAAGGCAGCATGGTGGGTGGCCCCTAGGGCAGAGATAGGCCTACAGACAATCGGATGGGAGCTGGCCTAGCCCAGGAAGCTGTGCCGGCCAGTTTGAGCAGATCAGGAGTATTTTGGGATAATATCCAGAGGGAAGTGATAGCGTAGGCCTATGTAGCAATTTCATTAGGGTGTACACTCAGGGAATTTCATATATTTTTTAGGATGAACATTAAATCATTAAGGGCATTTTTATTTATCAAACTAAGGAAATTAAAGTTTAATGTAAGTTTTGAAAATTTTACAGCAATAATTTAATAATAAAGACTTAAAAATGAGGGAAAAAATGACAGGTTTTGGTTATAGAATTAATTAGATAATATAAAAATAGTCAATTTTCATAATCTTTATCTTTTACCTGATAATAAGCTAACCCTAAATGGCTCAAATAGATTGTTTAGTTTTTCTTTTCCTTCACAAGAGAATAAGACAATAGGGATTCAGATTCCCTAATCACATCACTATTCACCTTTTTAATTAACAGAGGAAGCCAATTCTTGTTCTATGTACAAAATCATGCCTGAGTTGAGGCATTGGTGGGACATTATACTTTTTTTGATTTTTACGTGTGTTAGTTTCAAAAAACCTCTTTAACCTGATACAGTAATAAGTAAGGCTGCAACGCACTGGATAGGTTTGTAAAAGGCCTAGAAAGTTGAAAAAAATCAGTCTGATTCCTTTGCCAATCAAACCAACCTCAACTAGCATTCATAGCACTAATTTTAAGGATATGTCACAACGAAAGCAACCTCACTTAAGCTCCCACTTTAAATTAGTTGGCAGTGGTTTTCATATCCCTACCAATGTCTAATGTCTCAGCAGTTTTTCATTGTAGTTACAGTTTTACAAATCTGCTCTAATCAGTCAATGCCAGTAATCACAGAGTCCAGGAGTGAGTAAAATGAAGTTATTCTCCTCTTTTTATATCAAAGTCATGTTTTGTCTCAAAAGCATCATTACTACCAGTGGGTGTTTTCTTTTAACTGGAGAAATTGGTCTGTCATGTCCTGCACACGTTTTCATATAATTGAGAAGAGATTGAAAAATATTCTGGGCTACTCATCACAGTCAAAGAGGCAGATTTCTACCTCCTGTCATTACAATATGTTACAATATGGAATTCAAAGAACCTTGATTTACCACCACCTACAGAAGAGAGTAGCTCACCATTTTTAAATGTAAAGATGAATTGAGGCAGTGAGGTGGCGCAGTGGATAGAGCACCAGCCCTGAAGTCAGGACGACCTGAGTTCAAATTTGGCCTCAGATCACACACTTGACATTACTGGCTGTGTGACCCTGGGCAAGTCACTTAACCCCAATTGCCTAAAAAATAAAAAAAATTAAAAAGTAAAGATAAATTGCCATGAATTTAGTCCATGGATAAGACTTCTGGCTTTTATTTTTGTATCATCGAGGAGAGTTACTTTGAGAAGCTTGTAAAATGATGGAGTAGTTGGTTATTTTATAGCAGATATATTGTGGCTTTGCATGCTCCATCTTGTATTAAATATAAAGCTCTTAACCTGACACCATCCTACCCTTCCCGTCTTCTTACACTTGACTCCCACCAACTCTACAATCCAGCTGCAGAGGGCTACTTGCTGCTCCTCCCAAATGACCGCCTTTCACTGTTGTCCCCGACATCCAGAACGCGCACCTTCCTCACAGCTGCCTCTCACCTTCTTTGTCTTCCATCAAGACTCATTTCCAGTCTCAGTCTGTAGGGGGCATTTCTTGGTTCCTCTCCGTGCTAGTTCCTTTTCTGAGATAACCTCCCATCTACTATGTATATATCTTGTCTGTATATATACAGTTGTTTGTGTGGTGTTTTCCCCTTTGGACTGTGAGCTCCTTGAACCAGGGACTGTTTTTGCCTTTCTTTGTATCCCCAGAGCTTAGCACATAGTATATAGTTATAAATGCCTGTTGACTGACTGACTGATGCTGACTTCCATCTTCAAGTTGAATTTTTCTCCATTTTCTCCATTACTGCATGCCCCTCCATGACATATCTGAATAACACTCCCAAAGTCAAACTATTCTATTTATCTGAAGTGCATGCATCTACTAGGACAAGGTTCAAACAATGAGTATAGCAGTGTACCTAAAGTATTTCATTATTTCTTTGTTTCATTTGAAGTCTCACAGTCATCCATTTGTAGCACATTATAGCTGGCATTCAGATAGTGCTTTAAGGTTTGCAAAGCACTTCGCAAACATTTTCTCATTTTATCCTCACAACAATGCCAGGGAGGAGGTATGTGACTTGCCCGGATCACAGAACTAATAAGTGTTGGAAGCTGAATTTTAGCTCAGATCTCCCTGACTTAGAGGTCCAATACTCTGGCTGCTGTGCCACCACACTGCCTCCAAAACAGACATCACAAATAACCAGACTGTTTTAAGACTGCCAAGGACATCATTTAACTGGTCAAAATCAGATAGCATCAATTAATAATCTCCAAACAGACACAAACTGTTCAACTGGACTTTTTTATTGTCCAAATCCTGTACCACAATGGACATCTATTCATGGTTCCACTGTCAGTAGTAGGGTTGGCAGTTATGGAGATGATTGTTCTATTTGACAAAGAACCATTCTTTTATTGAATGATGTTTTGCAAGGCCACAATTAAATCACTTACAGCTTTGAAGAAAGTGTTTCACATCATTTGCCATTAATAGATTACATTTCTGGAGCATATTAACAAGATTTAGAAATAAGCTTTTCTCAACACTGGCAACTCAAGAGACCCCTGAATAGTCTCTCCTACTTTTTGCCAAATGTAG